AAAGACGCCACGGGCTAGCCTTACCCTGTTTACCTGCAGAACAAAGCTAACACGATTCTCCAATTAAATGAAGCTTCGCTTTCGCATGTCTTTGATTACCTGGTCTTATTTCTAATCTCTTAGTCAAGGGCAAAACAAGCCTTGGTTGACTTTAGGAGGTAATGAAGGAATTCTTCACTTCTTCGTTCTAGTTCAACTTCCCTTTATGCCGGGTTATGCTATCAATCTGAATTTTGCCGCGTCATGTCACGTAAGCCGGTATCTGGCTGCGGAGCGCGCCAGAGGTGATGCCGAATTTGTGCAAAGGATGCCGCCGCGCCCGTGAAACTCTAGGCATCCGTGGATGCCGGTGCATCTTGAAAATCATGCTAATTTGTCTTCCTCAATCTCATCATTTTCCTCTTCGTATAGATATGAGTGCACGGCTATTAAAGGGTGTGTGTGTGTGTGGGTGTGTGTATGTACCATTTTAGTCAGAGATTAGCAGACACAAACGTCTTTTTCTTAATGGTTTCATCTGCTTCTATGTACGTAATTCAGTTGTGTTTGTTAAGGGTAGGAGTGTAGTTTTATAGATGTATATGGAAATATTTATAATATGTTTAAAACTAGGCCATTAAATTAAATCAAAATTAAACAAAGGCCTATTAAATACGGGAATTATTAATCATAAAACGCAAAGGACCCCAGTAAGAATAACATTAAATGAGTGACGGAGGAATACAAAAGAAAACGATAAGAAATGATTGTAGATTTTGTACACGATACCTTCTTAATTCGACTTTGGACAACAAACATACAGGTAGTAAGACCAAAAATGAATAGTAAACTAGAGCGTTTAAAGTTAAATTAGATAAACTATTCCAAGGTTGGGCGATTTTTAAAGATGAGGGGTGTTAAACTAATATAAACTATATCTATTCGAGACAGCAGCTAAATTTCATATTCATAAACTAACTCAAATTGCAAAAGCAGTATTTCATTGAAATATTTCTGATTAATCAGTTTAGGGGAATATAACACCCTGATTGAAAGCTTCCACAGTTTTGTTCATCCTGTTTGAGATATCATCTGCTCTGTTACCATGACGACCAGGGAGGAGGAAAGAAGATGATGAAATTGAATTGTATGGGAAGAGCTCGACTCGAGGCTCCAATTTCCCAATTCCATCAACTTCACCGCTCCAATCATTATGTACACCATTTCTAAATACGTGTACAACAGTATTACTGTGTTCTCCATATCGTATTCGAGGTTATTGGGTAAAAAAACGTGTAAAGAAATGTATATCATACAAAGACTCAGTAGAAAAAACTGGGTGACTGCATTTAAGATTTTAAAAAGTTGCAGTGGTCAGCTATAAAAGAGATTCCTAATGTTCCTCTTGAAAAAATGGAAACACCAGCTTTTTCTTCAATAAATAATATCTTCATTTATGTGTCTTTTGCATGGATGCGATGCTACTTTTTCTCCAACATCAATAATAGTAGCAACAACGAAAACAACAACTATTTAGCTCAGTTACCTTGGACTAATATGACATTTTGGCTTACCGTTTTGATGACTACACAATAGTTTTTATTAAACACGTGTTTGTATAGCATAAAGGGTAAAAAAAAAAAAGGGGGGGGGTAAGAAACTACATTAATGTAAGGGTAAAATATCAAGGGCGGGAGGAGGGGATGGGAGAGGAAAGGGAAGAGAAGAAAGCGGAGGGGGGAGGAAATAATGATGATCACAAAACCGGTTCGTCAGAACAAGCAAGAGCTTCACTCCTTGTAGGTATTGCAGGACTTACAAAAATATAAAGGGTTGCCTGGTGATGAAGAACAGCAAATCTCACATCTCCTTGGACTAAGGGAACATTTGAAAAGAAGAGAGTGTAAGAAAGGGGCCCAAGATGGGGTGAGCTAAGGAGGGGGAGAGAAAGAGAGAGAGAGAGAGAGAGAGAGAGAGGGGGAGAAAGAGAGAGAGAGAGAGAAAGAGAGAGAGAGAGATCGCGGGAGGAATATACGGGAGAGGAGGGACGAGAGAGAGAGAGAGAGAGAGAGAGAGGGAGAGAGAGGGGGCACGGCCGGGGGGGGGGGGGGGGGTAGGCGTGTGATAATCTAGGTTATACGTCTCCACCCCCTCCGTGGACGTGCTATCGACGAAGGAGAGGTGAAGCTGCTTAGAATATTGTGTCCGGTATATGGAATAACGGTCAAGATATCAACGCGAGCTAGGAGGAATAGGAGAAGATGAAGAAATTTGGAAACATGTTTTGGAAAGAAATGTTTATATTTGGAAGGTGCACTTTAAGCGCCACCTTCTTGGCAGGTACTCCAGAAAGTGCAGTGAATGAGAGAGAGAGTTACTCAAGGGATTAGACCCCTGGGCGGGCGGGTCAGGCGACCCTAGATGTGATCATAGGGGGCTATAGAGATGGGTGATGAAGAGACTCGATGACAGTCGAGATGAACACGAGGCGCCATTAGATAATACGCGATGAAATCTCTCCTGATCATTCTTCTCAATCTATCTCCCTCCCTGTTTCTGTTTATATCTTTCCCTTCCTTGCTTCACTGTCATCATGCTCATAGGCTACTCGTTCTTTCTATTTCACCGTTTCCTTTTCTTCCCCCTTCAGTGAACTCTTAGCTCTCTCCCCTCTGTCTGTTCATCTTACTCTCTTCATCTCTGTCCCCTCTCTCCCTCTCTCTCTCTCTCTCTCTCTTTTTTCTCTCTCTCTCTCTCTCCCCCTTCTCTCCCCTCCCCCCTCTCTCTCTCTCTCTCTCTCTCTCTCTCTCTCTCTCTCACTCATGCGTACCCCGGCCCCCTCTTCGGTCTCTTTTGTCTCTTGCAGAACTAACTGTTCCTCTGTCGATAGTGCATTTTGACGTCTGTCTGTTTAATAGTGCTTGTGGTTCTCATTATAAAGTACGTCTATTTTCCCCCCTTTTCTTCATATGTCAGTCTTTTACAAGTTAGGCCTTCGTCGTAATGGTGTCACTTGTTCAATAAGATGAAACAAGAAGGGCTTACAGGCATATTTACTTCAATGAACTTATGAATGGTTTATTGTCGTTTGGTCTATAACCAGTTCGTCTACTACCAATTGGGGGTATAAACCCAGCCCGAGTACTATCTATATTATTCTATATGGACTAAAATTAATTAATCATAAATAATAATAATCATCAAATGATTACTAAAGCCCTTATGGATGGTAGACGAAATGATAATTATAAAAACTGGAAATTAGACTTACTGGTATTAAATTTTACTAAATGATCAATAGACCAAATGGGTACACTCATTTGAGATTAGACCATATGGAAATTTGACCAAATGAATTTTAGGCCAAATGGTTGTTAGACCAAATGATAGGTATACGAAATTATTATTAGTCCATGGGGATAGTAGACGGGGGTGTATGGGAGTAGACTAGTCGGGTAATGGACGAATTGGTAGACAAAACGACAATTCACCCTTTTGAATAACGTCCTTTTCCAAAGGGTTACAATATATTGTAAAGGTTCAATGGCCTATCGTTATGGTGAAAATGTAGGGGGTGTTGGATTCAGGTGCCACTATATTGAGACATTAAAAGTTCACAGTTCGCCTTTTCTTCCCAATGGTATATAAAAAGACCTACTTTGAAATTAATATTCACTAAATTATTCTATCTAGGACAGGCATGCTCCGTAATTCACCGTCTTTGCTTACCCTACATCGTAATTCTCACACCTCACAAATAGGGGATAAAATATCAATCATCATCGGGGATTCAGCGACACTCGGTTAATCACACAATCAAGCTCCCCAACGCAAATAGGTGGGGCGGGAAAACCTCCAATAAATACTGCTAAATTGTTTGCAGGTGGCATACTTCCAAAAGTGTAAAACCAAAACTGCCTGGTGGGAAAAGCTAACAAATTTGTATGACACATTTAAAGCACTCCATGGAAAAGAAATAAATCGATTAACTCTTCACTTGATTAGATGATACAAAAGTGGGACTGGTTTAAGTGATGATAATTTTCCCAGGGGGGAGGGGAGGGGGGCTAACAGAGAAGGAATAATTTATTTAAGAAGAAAGAAAAATAGGTGCACGGACCAGCCGTCAGCCCGATTTCGAGAGATGTGCCAACAAAAGTGCTTTTCATGAGGTCATGTATAAAAGCCTGCAAATTGTTGGGGCATATACATTTGGAAATGAGAAAGGTATGGACACACCAATCCCTTATTCGCAGGAGATGAAGCTGGAGAAAAAAAAACAAGTAGAACGAAAAAGAGTATCAAACAAAATTTATGTTGAGAATGTGTGGGTATGGGATTGGCAATGGTTCTTGTCCTCCAAAAGGATTTTTGATTGACTGGAAAAGGGGCTCGTGGATGGGAGGGGGGGGGGGGGGGGGGGGGGGGTAAGACATAATTTTTCATCTTCCACACTCCTCCACATTTTTCCATTTAAAAAGGTAATTTCAAGAACGAAGTGGCCAAAGGCTATATCCGCCATAATTTCTCTGAACATCTAGTCAAGTAGTCGTCAAGTAGTTGCCAAGAGATGGCAGTATTCAACATACAACCACAGCAGCTTAGAAAATAAAGTAAGCGATGCCATTGCTACCTTGTAATTGCAAAGTGACACACACTCTCTCTCTCTCTCTCTCCCTCCCACGGGGGGGGGGGGGGGGGGGAGGGGGGCACCCTAACATTTCCAAGATCGGTTGATCTTTTCAAGACCCCTCCCCAGGACGTCGATCAATTACATGTATGTGCCCCTCCCCCCCCCCCCCCCCCCCCAAAAAAAAAAAAACAAAACAAAACAAAACAAAAAACATCAAACTCCTGCTACGGGCCTGCTCCCTCTCTCCCTATATTTCTCTCCCCCTCTTTCTCTTCCTCTCTTTCCCCCCTCTCTCTCTTCGCTCAATCTTTTCATGACGTTCAACTTCCTTTCTTCTTACATCTCTTGTCATACATACAGCACTATTTTTAAAATCACAAAAACCTTGTAGTTTTCACTTTAAGATTTATTCATAATAAATAAGTACACATACATCAATGTCCATAACAATCTGACATAAATAAGGCAAGTTAAAGAAGCATGTATCTTCAGTTCTGGTAGCAAAAAAATGGAATGATAGTTCTTGAATATGTCCCTATCCATGTATGTTCCACTTTTATCCAAAAGACAAGTGTTTATGCACATTTACATGTATCTGCCAGATACATGTAATGTCCAATTCACGATTTCTAATAAATTGTATTGAAAATATCTAAAAGCAAATTGATGTTCTCAGCCTTCAAAAAAATCAAGGTACTGTGCTTTCATTTGTAAAAGGGCGCTTGTAGCTGCAGCCTTCAAATAATGATGGTATTGTGCAGAAATAGTCCATCACTTTTCTTTTGCTGAAGTGTACTTCCTAGAAATTGTTTTACATTCTTTTCCTTTATCAGGTGAACATGAAGCATCCTCACAAAATATTGTTCTGTGATATCTGTCTTTCTTTTCCCTTCCACCAGAAGATTTAGAATTTGTCTGGCTACAAGATTCCTTAGAATGAAAGTCATCCCTTCTTGAAGAATGTCCCAGCGTCCTTCTGTCCCTCTCTTGGTACGTTCCTTCCAGCCTATCATGATGCGATCCCCTATCCAGCTTTTGACTTTTATTCTCATCTTTATAATCAAGATTTGTGTCTGTTCGCTTAGAACCATCCTTGTGCCGTTTCTCAACTCTAGAGCTTGACTGGTGTCGGTTCCCAGAGATGACCCCTCTCAACGTGTTCTTCAGGAAAACTTTGTTGGTCTTGACCTGTCTTTTCTTCCTGTTGAGAGAGCAATAGAAAAAAAAGAGAAAGACATTAAATGTTCTCAAGTCACAGTCGATAGATGTAAACATACTATTAATTATTATACTATTACGTAGTTCTGTGTTAGATGTATGTTGTTTTTTAGTAAATGTGATGTTATTTTATGTACCTGTAAAATGTAGGGCTTCCTTGGAGAGCAGGCAATTAAATTTATTTTTGGCTGGGATGGAACCACCCTACTTAAATAAAACTTAATAAATAAACAAAATATACATCTAGAAATACAAGTAAAACATTTATAATCTCCTTCGTAATTTTGTTTACGATATATTTTTTTTACTTTATCATTGTTGCCATATGTATATAGGTTATGTCGAAGATGATGATTTATATGTTCATGAAAAGAAAAAAAATGTATGTTGATGTTTAACAAAATGAACTAAACACACGGTATATGATTTAATTTATCGTGGCCATATCTTGGTTATGTTGAGGATAATGATTTATATGTTCATGAAAAGAAGAAAAATGTATGTTGATGTTTAGGAAAATGAACTCCACAACACATGCATGTACATGTACAGACAAAACCCTGGATAAACATTGTCCTCACTTATGTTATTTGTTTTGAACATGTTAGCTATCTTTTTATTATGTTAGTTACTATGTTAAGTATGTCATTTTAGTAGTAATGAGATTTGTATATTGCTCTTTGTTTATTCCTTTTGTGTGATTATATTCTTGTCATTCATACTTCTACAGCACATAGAAACTTGTTTATTATGCGCTTTGTAAATATTGTATTATTCTTATTATTACTATGTAAATCAGGCCTGATGTAGATGCATGTTTGTAACGTAACAGAAATGGACAAAATAAAATTCAAAGGGAGGGAAGTTGGTGAAGGGAGAGAAAAGGAGAGAAAGAACGAAACGGATAAATTACATCAGATCTCTTTTCCATCATGGCATCTACAGTACATGCTATACATGTGGTGGTGCAGATGTCACCAGAAAGGAGGAAAAAAACGCCAAGTATTTCAATGTATGCTTTTCAAACTCGACCATACAGCTTAGTGAAGTCCTCCGGAGGATTGGAGTGGATCCTGGCAGTTTTTCTAAATGGGGCCAGCGTAAATGCTGTTACAAATGCTGGATAATTGTCTGGAGTAAGAAATGAAACCAATGTCAACATTTCTGAGACCTATCATTCCACCATCTTTGTAATCTCCTGGATGAGAACCTCCCAAATTCATACTACAGGCACTCACTTCTGTAACATTCAAATCTGTACTAATAACGCACCTCTTTGGCCTTAATTAATTAGCTTAAACCGTATTTTGTCCTCACTTATGTAATTTGTTTTGACCATGTTAGCTATCTTTTTATTATGTTATTTACTATGTTAAAGTATGTCATTTTAGTAGTTATAAGATTTGTATATTTCACTTTGTTTATTCCTTTTGTGTGATTATATTCTTTTCATTCATGGTTGTACAGCACATAGAAACTTTTGTTTATTATGCGCTTTATAAATATTGGTATGTAAATCAGGCCTGATGTAAATGCATGTTTGTAACCTAACAGAAATGGGCAAAATAAAAATTGAAGGGAGAGAAACGAAGAGAAAGAAACAGAGAAATATAGCATGTGAGAAAGCATGCAATCTCCATTACATCAGATCTCTTTTGCATCATGGCATGCTATACATGTGGTGGTGAAGATGTCACCAGAAAAGAGACAAAAAACGCCAAGTATTAAAATGTATGCTTTTCCAATTCCAACATCAAGCTTGGTGAAGTCCTGCGGAGGATTGGAGTGCATCCTGGAACTCCAACGAAATGGGCCAGCGTAAATGCTGTTACAAATGCTGGATAACTGTCTGAAATAAGTAATGAAACCAATGTCAAAACTGCTACACTGCTAGTGCTACATGTTCCTTGAACATACACCAAAGCTGGCGACAATGCTTTCCAGGCATGTGCTCCTCGACTCTGGAACGAGCTTCCACGTTTCATTTGTTTATCACCTTCGCTGGATGTCTTCAGATAATGTCTCAAAACTCTCCTCTTTGACCATGAACAACAACTGAATCTTTGATAATGTTTATGTAAAGCACTGTGAAACAACAGTTAGTTTGTAAGAGCGCTATAGAAATGACTTTATTGTATTGAATTGAATATTATTTATTGTTTCCTTTGTGTTTATTTTGCACGTATAATCATTATGTATGGTATATTTGTCCAAGAATATAATGGTAATGTCAGTCAATGTTAAATACTCCACAATGATTGTCAATTCGATTTTTGGTTCAAATTTGATAAAAAATATATCTCATCATTTTATGTGCATATATCTTTTCATGTTTTCCATCCATAGATGCCGATTGATTTCAATCACCCATCCATGTGGGGAACAGAGAAATATCGGTGCTTGTGCCAAACGGCGAAAGAAGAGAAAAAGATGCAAGCGCACCACACGACACAAGAGAAGAGTGTGTTGGCAACATCAGGCCACTTTGGACTATCATACTTTCAATACATGAGAGACCACCCACATCTGTGTCTCTCTCCAATTTTTGTGATCCCCAAGCGCTCGGGGAAGTTGCGGATGATCTTGAACATGAAGGTGATCAACACTTTCATCCTCGGTACATTTCCGGATGGAAACGCTGGCTTTCTTCTTGCCGACGATTGATCGGACTGACTGGGCCATCTCGCTTGATCTCAAGGACGCCTACTTTCATGTACCGATCCATTCCTGTTCGCGGGATCTCCTGGGATTCGCTTTCCAGGGCCACTTTGGACTATCATACTTTAAAAACATACAATAATGCCTATCGATTTCAACCATCCATATATGTGGGGAACAGTTATATATATCAGTGCTTGTGCCAAAGGGTGAAGGAAAGAGAAAGATACAAGTTTATTACAGACGAGTATGTTGGCTTTAAAGTCATTCAAGTGGCGCTGTAAATAGTTAGATATCGTAAATGCTCTCCAAGAAGCAATTTATATCCATTGATTATTCCATTCATATTCATATTTATTATATTTATATTATATTAACTTGTATTGTCATATTTTCAAAGTTAACTGCTTAAGGAGCTATGCTACATTATTGTTCCATATCTTTATTTTGTATAGTTTTTGTATTTGTTTAAATGTTTGTATAATTATTATGTTTTATACATTATTTTTTTTTAATGTTTTTTTCATCGTATAGACAGGGCCTCTTGGAAGATCAATATCAGAGATAGAAAGGGGCCATAAAGAAGACTTTAATAAATAAATACTGCATTAAAGATATCAGCTAATTGAACACATTGAACAAAACCAGAACAAAATCTTTATAGGTGAAACTCTATTCTCCTACATATTCTTATATCAACGTCATGTACCCCCCCCCCCTTCCCAGCTGCTATCGACTCGAGCATTCATGCTTATGATAGTTGGCCTTTGCATTTATCTTGATTCTTTGACTTACCTCCATACTTTAAGGTTTTCAATTATATATGCATTTTTATGTGTGTGTATTTCAGTTGTCGCTCTTTATGTAAATAAATTATATTATATACTCTTGTTATTTGAATGTTTTGTATTTGATTTATTAATAAATGCAGAAACATCTGCTAAAAACAAAAAGTTTAAATGACAAAACGAAACTATGGCATATTAAAAATGAAATAGCAGACAATGTTATAAAGAATGAAAAATGATCAGATAGTCATAGACCTCAATCCACCACAAAAAAAAGATCCTGCGCTAATGACCAACAACAGATTAAATAATACAACCGGATAACAACAGCATAGCATGACAAATCCCAATCTGGATGCTGTTCAATTTTGCTTTCAATTTGTTCAATCTTTTGCTAAAACTAAATAAATTTCATTCATTGTGTACGTGTATATTCTCATTAAGGTGGACTGAAGAAACTGAGAAAAACAAATTATGAAGGCTCTAAAACAACTATTTTATTTTTATTTTTCAAATCTCACCAGCCATTAGGTCCCATCGTTGAAGCTCTTTCTTTGCCTCTCCCTGCTTCATTGAGCAATTCCGCTGCAGCAAGTCTGGAAGAAAATATGAATTCCATCAATTGTAATTTTGTAGCTGTCAAACAAAAGTGGGTTGTACTAGTTGGTTTAAGTGATTTCTTGGTTAAACTAGATGTACAGTAAGTGCGTCCAAAACTCCACATATTTTTGCTGGTGGTTCAGGGTAGCGTTTCATGAAACCATCATAAGTACAGGTTCACCGACATCCCATTGAAATGGGTGTTAAACTTAATACACACATTTCAATGGGATGTCGGTGAACTTGTACTTATGATGGTTTCATGAGACGCTGCCCAGGAGTTTATTTTTGCAGCTAGAACATATTCACCCCTCGGCTGTGCAGGCTGGCGGTCATGTGCTTCATCCCATGGACATAACATGCAGCAGTGTATGGGGGTTGAATGTGTGCATAGTTAAACACATTGAATACATCACACAATCTGTGTGCTAACTTGCTAAGAGTGTTGAAGGGTGCTTTCTGCATGATTGCTTCAAAATGTTTATGCATGACTGTTTCATAATGCATAATGAGCTCATCAAATAGATTAAGAGTATTGTTACACCTCTTCTCATAACATTACAGCAGCTACACTAAAGGATAGACTATTTTGTAATGTAATCAGATTGAATGCACAAATCTTTATTAAAGTGACTTGGTATCATTGTGAAGGTTGATGAAAAAATTGCTTAATTTTTGTATATTTAATGTTACTTACTATATTCCTTCTACTGTACTAACCCTGACATGCAAAAAATCCTGAAAAAATTCTCAAACCACGAAGATATCTATGGTTTGCTTTGAAAAGGTCGATGTACGACACACTCTAACAGTGATTTAAAGTGAATTCTCCCAACCATTTTTGAATTTTCCAAACCGTTTTCCCATGAAAAAAAAACATAAAACAGGCTATAAAAAATCTGTCAACACTTAAATGTCTGGAATGGAATGTAGAGCCATTTTATTGCTTTGTGATGATTTACATTCACCTAAAATGTAATTAATTTGTAATAATATAGTTGGGAGAATTAAGGAATCGATCAGTTCAGTTTTCCCAATTTGTACCATGAATTATGGTCCGTTTTCACTCAAATTTTCACATTATTTTTTAATTGTACATCTAGCATTGAAGTCACTACCTTAGCACCACTATCTATCATCTTAACAATGTTACCAAGTCCCTTTAACAAATCATTTCAAGCACCTGTTACGAATAATTGTATTTATTTTCAATAGTCAGAATGCTAACTGCGTACATTGTATATTGTTAGGTAGGAAAATCCATATACCGGTATGTTTGTCCTACCTAGTAACAGTTAATGCATGCAAATCGCTTTCTGATTATTGAAATATAATTATTTGTAATGGGTGAACAAAATAATTTGTAACAAGGAACGTAAGAACAAAATTTACAAAGACCTTACCTATCAAGTTCTTCATCTCCCATGCTTCTGAGATGGTCTTGCGTGCCACTTCTGAGATGGTCCTGCGTGCCACTTCTGAGATGGTCCTGCGTGCCACTTCTGATCCCTCTACACTGCTGCCTGTAAATGTTGATAAAGGAATAAACATTTTAAATACAAAATGATGATTTAAGGGGGAGGGGCATTCTTATGAAATGCATTGTACCCCCCCCCCCCCTCCCCACATTTATTCACCTAGCACAGTACTTTCACTACACTGCATGCCATGCAATGCACCAGGAGATGGTTTTCACCTCCATAGACTTTGACTTTCTTTTCCGTTTTTACTATTTTATCCTATTAAAGGAAAATGAAATGCAACAAATGTTAGCTGATAGCCTTATTAACAATTGTGAGCCAGTTAAAATCACCTTGATATTAATTACTCCTTTGAATACTTAGCACGGAAAAACAATCTCTCTAAAGTTTGCAGCTTTCTTGCTAGCCATTCTCCAACAGAAGTCACCATTTTGATGAATATAGTAATGTCAGAGTAGTACAACTTGTGAAAAACTCACTGGCCTCTATTTCAATGACAATGTAGGATACTCACCTGTAAAATGCATGAAAATAATGTAAGGACACACACAAGACAAAACTAGTCTTACATGTTTGATGACTTGAGCTGCACTGCTATATTTTAATACATCTACAAAATGGCTGCCAAGATGGCTGACATGCAGTCCATAAAACAGTAACAACCAATCACAAGATTGGACATGAAGTAAGTAACCAATAGAAAGCCTAAAGAAAGATAAAGTGACATGTGCTATAGTGTGCTGGGTTGAATAGCCATGAGATAGGAAGAGTGTGTGTGTGGTGCTATGACAGGTAATGTATATGAGGATGAATGAATAGGGACAGAACAATAGAAGCCAAGAGCTAGGAGACAACAGACAATGCATGTAGGTCAGGAGTGCGCTGAAGCATAACAGTGTGGAAAGCTAAAGTAAAAATAAACAAGTAACCATTTGGATCAGTAAAATTAAATCTTACAATAGTTTCCTCATAATTAACCTTTTTTGTAATGCATTCAAATGAATGGACGTTCTCTCATAAACTTATGGTGACAAGCTATTTGGTTCAGGTGTTTCAGATGGTTGAGCAGTTTATTTTATTCAGCAATCTTTGGCACTCATAAGATGTTGCTTGGCCAAACAAAGCTCTGCCAATTATTCAAAAGAGTGACAATGGAATGCCCTCGACCAGCAGTCTGTAATAGCCACATCTGTTGAGAACTTTAGAAACACACTTTAGCATGTACCACCTGCCATCCATAGGCCTAAAGAAAAGATGTTGTATTGCCCTTTGTGACAGATCAAAAAAAATGACATCGATGGTCAGCTTTTATTTTTTTCAACTGTTTTTTAGAAGAAAAACATTCAAAACTGGGAAATATCAGCCCAAAGAGGGAGTTAACAACAACAATTTTTTTTTTTTTTTAAAGATTTCCGACCGACCGACCGACCGACCCATGTTTTGACATCTTAAGGGCAATACAACATCTTTTTTTAGGCCTTAGCGACATGCAGAATACCGCCCTGCTGACTTCAATTCAAAAGATTTTGTCACTTTATTAATACTTTTGCACAATATTTTGCACTCGCAAAAACTAAATGCCTCTTCTTTCTTCTTCTTCTTCCAGTGCAAGTACAGTCCTCTGGGTAGAGTATTTTCGTACTGTTGTGTAGTGCTGTGAACGAATGTGCCATGCTGCATTGTGTGAGCCTCCAAAAAAGAGGTCCCAAACGGTTTTAGAATTGGGTAGTAAAGACTAAAAAGTGTTCATTGTGCAAGTACTAAAAATAACTCCTTCTCCAGCTAGACTAGTTTTGACGCAGAGCAGAGCTGCCAACATTTGATTTGGGTAATCAGGGAGATTTCTGAGAGAGCAGCATCGAACGACTTCATTGTTGGCGGGAACCAAGAATGGCCTTTTAGTGCCCCTGGTGGGGGGGGGGGGGGCAGGGGGCAGGCCCCCAAAAGCTCTTGGTTTTAAGCCTCTTTGAAACCCTTTTAGAACACATTTTTTCAATGATTTCTCAAATGGAAGGCTTTGATATGGCACATTTTATTTGCATACAATTGATAACATATGAACTTCACATCATATTTCAGACTATGAACTCCTGTTACCTCTATTGTGAAATGGGGGATGTACTTGTGGAAGGCAAGGACTGGGGTGTGCTTGAGGGTTTTCCTTGAAGTGACTGGTAGGTTGCTTGCTTGAGTTTGCTAAGGAGGTCCTTGCTATACTCCCTTTGGTAGCATGGGACATCTGTGTTGGCAATTTTCTCTGTTAGGAGTGCTTGAAGTGTTTTCAAATTCATTGATCCCCTGAAATCAGTTTTGTTCTTCCTAACAATGCTAAAAACTCTTTCACATGAAGCATTGGAATGTGGTATCACAAGCAAAGATTTCATCACTTTGCTCAGAAGTGTGTATTTCTTTGAGCCATTGCCATCCTCCATCTTTGAAATTGCAGACCATTTCTTGTCTATTCTCAGTTTTTGTTCAGGATCTCTGGTTCCCCTGATGTGGCGAAATACATCATTTCTTCCCCCACTCTTGATGGAGATATCTGCGCCGCAAACTGTAAAAATGCGTAGTATTCGCCTTTCGTAGATTTCCCAACACAAGGCCATTCCAAGTGGTAGTCATCTTTATATTTCTGATAATATTTCGACTTCGACATTGTCCTGGATGATATTTAATACTCAAACAGAGAGCAAAATACAGCCTTGTTTTGGACAAAGTTGACTTACGCCTTCGGAAGATGCAAGTTATATCGATGCGTTCCCAACGGCAAAGGAGATCAGAAAAAAAAGTCGGCTTCAAAATCCACTCTGCAGTAACACTGCCATGTTGGTATCAAATGATAATCCACTTAAAAATCACATCGCAAAAGTCCCCAAATCAATCCAAAAACTGATGTTGAAATGTGCAGTTTTTTGGGCCGATCGCAGCAGACAAAGTCTGCTTGTTGTATCAGTGCAACTTCTGGCTGCTCTGACGCGACCGATCGGAAACCGGCACCAACGTACCGGGACGCTACGGGGGCCGGCGAGGAAGCGCCCGGCAGAGCAAGCAGGCGAATTGCTATCACACAAACACCACTCACATTATCACATGTTCCCAATGGTTTGTTAGATTAGCCCGCCAGTCGTTCGGCGTAACTCTCATTTATTACGCTGTTAAATAAAGTACGATATCACGGTAAATTTATATTCGACGACTGGATAACAGGAAAATTCATATTACAGAATTGCCGTGTGTTTTGTATACGTACGTACGAACTCAACATGCTAGTCTTGTGAAACAGTCGTTTATGAAAATAATACAACTTAAAATCTGGAAATCCGGGAGATTTTGCATGGGGTCGGGAAAACGGGATATTGGGTCAAAATCCGGGAGTCTCCCGCAGGATCCGGGAGACTTGGCAGCTCTGCGCAGAGTCACGTCACCCCAACCAGCTGCCTCCTATTCAAGCAGAACACACATACCACACAAAACATTTACCAAATGATTTGAGACATAACACTCTTCAAAACATGTATGATAACCTTTCGTTCATAGCTGACTTTTAGAATAAATGACCATTTTCTGAGTGTAAACTTTTTTTGACTCACACGGCAGTGAGGTTACAACTCAAAGTTAAAGTTAGGCACGTATAGCACTACGGTAATTGCAAGATGTGGGACCGAAGTGAAAGAAGCCAACACATGCACGGGCACAAATTCTCCGACTCTGGCTTCATGCCTGATCTCAAATTAAATGGAAAGCGAGTTAATCAAAACGTATGGAATATTGCATAACGTGTAATTACTTTCCACATAAAAAAAAGAGACTAAAATGTGTTTTTTTTAAACAGAAAATAAATAACACATACCTGCGCTCAATCTCTAGCAGACATGTCAAATTGTGAACACAGCTGACCGAAATTCGTCCAGCAAGATAGGCGAGGATGGTGTTCTCAACATGCATGCGTCTTTGTAAAGTGCAAATTATTGTATTCACCCCCTGTTCCCGCACCTGTAACGAATAATTGCTTATATTTCAATGTCAGTATGTGGATTGCATATCAGCTGTTGCTAGGTGCAATTTGCATACTGACCTTTGAAATACAATTATTTGTAACAGGTGAATGAAATATTTAGTATCAAGGCACTTTACAAAGACGTATGCTTTACTTTGGTTACATCACGAAATGGTCTATTCAGGCAAACCTAAAAGAAGAGATGCTAATTAAAATTATTCGGTAAGGCTACATAAAAAAATGTTGAAAGAAAGAAAAAATAAAAAGGGGAAAGTTGAGATGTTAACTATTATTTAAAATGATGGTTGACTGTACGTGCTAAATCTGTGGTCGTGTTGATTTTTAGTAATACAATAACAATAGGGTATTCATATTTATTTTACCTCCCCCCCCCCCCCTAGTATATCATGAAGCACAAGGCTGAGCCCCCCCCCCCCCCCCCAGGGGCGGATCCAGCCGGCGGGGGAGGGGCCAAAGAGGGGGGGCCCAATTCGTGAAAGTGGGAGGGGGGGGGGGTAGTGAGCACTATTTTTTTTTTTTGGGGGGGGCCTCGAAAATTTGAAAAATCGCACCCCCCCCCCCCCCCTTGAGCGCCAGGGGAGGGGGCCCATCTCCAGAAAAAGGTTATAATTAACGTGTTTTTGAACTGTAGTTTTTCCAAGGGGAGGGGTCCTGGGCCCCCTGGATCCGCCACTGCCGCCCCCTCCCCCCCCCGGTCCCCACAGTACCACATTACACATTTTTATTTCAGTTTTCTTTATGGATAACTGATTTTCTTATAAAACTGAAGATATGGCGTATACATTCAATACTGAATAAACGCCATTAAACTATTACCAATTGAACAACAACAACAACAACAACAACCAATCGAATGCAGACATTAAACTTGTGCATCCCAATGCTTGCTCTTCAGACTTTTAAATTGCGTTCAAAAAGAAATTATGCTTTTCTTATTAGCCTATATATATCCGTCAGTTAAAAACTGATGACCTCTTTGAATGACATTTAAATTATGCCCCGTTGGTAAAATACAAACGCCCAGCCCTAAACCCACTTTGATTTTTTTGTTTGTTCATCGATTTGTGTACTTTATTCCTTTACTACATGTGTTATTAATGCGCTCTCTATTATTACGCCCCCCCCCCAAAAAAAAAAAAAGTATTATCAAGTTTTCTGTATAGACGATGTTCACTTACCCCATCATGCGACTAGTAAAATCTCTTCCAAGTGAACTTAGATAGATGCCCCTATCAACAGGTAAAATAAGTACTCGCCTGAGGCTATAATCCCCCTCCTCTATATGAACTGCCCTTAGATTATCCCTTTCATGACAAAAATAAATAGATATAGTTTAAGGCTAACCGTCTTTATGTGCATGACTGTGCGATATATTCCATCATTGCATGTTTTTCTGCCTATATCGAAACACGGACTATATCCAGGCAATGTTTGATGCTTGCCCATTTTCTAATTATATATAGGCCTATACATGCATAATAAAACCGGCGACAAAAATGAGTGACCTCCAAAGTAACAAATGTCCCGTGGTCGTCAAGCCATCCAGGCGCGGATCCAGGGGGGGGGGGGGCCGAGCGTGCCTTGGCCCCCCCCCCCCCCCCGCAAAAAAAAAAAAAAAAAAGGAGAGAGAGAGAAGGAAAAGAAGGGAAAGAGGAGAGAAGGGAAAAAAAGAGAGAAGAAGAAAGAAAAGAAGGAAGAAGGAGATCGGGGGGAAGGACTTGCCTCCCCCTTCCCCCCCCCCTAATAAAAAATAAAAGAGAAGGAAGGAAGGGAAAGAAAAAAGATAAAGAGGAGATAAAGGGAAGGACAAAATAGGAAGAAGAAAAGAAAAGAAGGGGGATATCAGTTGCAATTTTCCCGCCAACAAGTGTAGATCGGAGGGGGGGGGCACTGGCATACTGATAGGGGGAGGGGGGTGGATAAATAGAATTAAAACGTGGTTTATTTATAATTCCATAACGGTGGTTAACAAATAATGCTGAAATGAGATAATTTTCCTCACTTCATGCGTTTGTTGGAAAATGACAAATTCCTAAATTGACAGCCAGGCAAGAAAATGCTTTTTGAGATGCCTACATATCAGGGCCCGCGGAACGGCGGGGATCGGGATCCTCGAGCCCCTCCCCCACACTTTCTTTGAAAAAGTATATTAAAGAGAATAGAAAGAAAGAGAGCGAGAAAGAAAAAGTAGTTAACTGCCAGTGTCACATTATAATGGGGTATCAAATATGCTCTCTGACCATTAAAATTAATGCCTAAAATCCTAAGGGCTCTGCCCCCTGGATTCCCCACGGGGCCCTAAGGCGGGCCCTTATATGCTCATATGACGGTCATTTAATGCCTAAAACCCCTGATTTCTGGGGGCTCTGCCCCCTGCACCCCACGCCAAATAGTGTCCTGCTAGTGTCACAAATAATAAGGTATCAAAAATGCTCATCTGACCGTAATTAAACGCCTAAAACCCCTGAGCTTCGGGGGATCTGCCCCTGGACCCAACAAGAGCCCTTAGGCGGGCCCCTCGATACTCATCTGACCGTAATTGAGTGCCTAAAACCCTTGAGATTCCGGGGCTCCGCCTCCTGAACCCCAAGCCAATTAGTGACCTGCCATCGTAACAATTAGATATCAAAATAATGCTCATCTGACCGTAATTAAATGCCAAACTCCTGAACTTCCGGGCTCTGCCCCCCTGGACCCCGTCTAGGGCGCTAAGGCGGACCCCTGAATGCTAAACTGACGTAAATTAAAACCTTAAACCCCTGAGCTTCCGGGGCGGACAAGGTATCAACATTATTGTTCATCTGACAGCAGGCGCGTAGCCAGGGGCGGTGGGATGGTCCCCCAATAAACGCCGGCCAAAAAAGAGAGGAGTATAAAGGAAGAGGACGTAGGAAGAAAAGGGAATAGACAAAGAACATATTTGATATTCAGACAAGATTAGAGTCGAGAACGGTACAACGAATTGTCTTCTTTCTCTAACGAATTAATGAAACGTCAAACCTTCCGCGCTACGCGCGGGGGAGGGCAGGGGGAACTTAATTCAGACGAGGATAATTTTCGGTAACGGTACAACGAATCGTCTTCTTTCTATAATAATTTAATGAAACGTCGAAGCTTTAATGAAAAGTAAAAGTTTCCGCGCTTTCGCGCGGGTGGGGGAAACTAATTATTTTCGAGAGCGGAACAACGAATCGTCTTCATTCTCTAAAAATTTAATGAAACGTCGGAGCGGGGGGGAAACTGAATTTAGACAAGGATTAAGAGTCGAGAACGGTACAACGAATCGTCTTCTTTCTTTAATGATTTAATGAAACGTAAAAGCTTCCGCGCTTCGCGTGGGAGGGGGGGGGGAAACTGAATTAACAAGAATTAAAAGTCATAATGGTACAACGAATAGTCTTATTTCGCTAATGATTTAATGAAACGTAAAAGCTGTATTCAGACGGATTATTTTCGAGAACGGTACAACGAATCGTCTTCTTTCTCTAATGATTTAATGAAACGTACAAGCTTCCGCGCTTCGCGCGGGAGGGAGGAGGGAAAAACTGAATTCAGATGAGGATTAAAGAGTCGAGAACGGTACAACGAATCGTCTTCTTTTTCTAATGATTTAATGAAACATAAAAGCTTCCGAGCTTTGCGCGGGAGAGGGGGATGAATTAAGACGAGGATTAAGAGTCGAGAACGGTACAACGAATCGTCTTCTTTTTCTAATGATTTAATGAAACGTAAAAGCTTCCGCGCTTCGGAAATTTTCAAATTTCGAGACCCCCCCCCCCCCCCAAATAAAGTGTCCTGCCCCCCCCCCCCCCCGCTTTATTTAGCGGCTGGCTGAGTCGTTACGATTTTTTTCGGACCAAAAAAAAAAAGTGGGCCCCCCCCCCCTAAGAAATCCTGGATCCGCGCCTGAAGCCATCTACCTGATGTAATTATCGGCCCTTCTTTATATGAAGTGCCTTTGCCTTGTTCGTGGGGAAAAACACTCGAAAAACCCGCTGCAACAATATTTTATTTCATAAACTCCAAAGTAAATTAATATATGAAAAGTTGACCTCTAATAAGGAAAACTTAACTGTAACCAGCAAGGGCGGGTCTAGGGGGGCACAGGTGCACGCGCATCCCCCTGCCCCCCCCCCCAAAAAAAAAAATATGCTCCCTTACCCCCCCCCCCCAAAAAAAATATGCTCTTACCCCCCCCCCCCCCCCCCCCCCCCTCCCCCCCCCCCCCCCTTATTCAGCGGCTGGTTGAGTCGTTGCGACTTTTTTTGGACCAAAAACAAATTATATATATGTTTAACCCCTCCCCCCACTTATTTAGCGGCCGGCTGAGTCGTTGCGAAATTTTCGGCCCGATCATGTTTAACCCCCCCCCCCCCCCCAAAAAATCCTACGTACATACGCTACTGATTTCACCCCCCCCCCCCCGCCATTTTTTGCCCCCCCCCCCCCCCCCCGGTAAGAAATTCCTGGATCCGCCACTGCCAGCTATAGGTCTAATGAAGTAAACTCTTTGAAAATCTGAAAGGCGTTGGCTGTTTTAAGAGAAAGGGGTTATTATAGTTGTTATCATCATAGATCGAGTATAATATATCAGTTCTCATGATCGAACATACATTTAATACTCTTTTGATAAGACATTTTACTAGACTTTACATAATACTGCTTCTATTTTCCCCCTTTTTGTCTTCTTTTCTTGTTCTTTGTAAAAAGCGTAAATATAACCCCTTAGGAATTTTATTTGTCATATATTTAATATATTTGAAAGGTGTTGTAACGATTCAAGCTCTATATGCTTATGTTTCATCACCTTCTTTCAACTGTATAAAAATATATAGGTCTATAGTTGCAACTTGTCTTTTAACATTGTTATATTCTTTTTCATGTGAAGTCAATTCAAATGGAATGTAAGAATGAAAATGAAAATTTG